AGTTTATAAATGGTTTGGTATTAACAGATATATGAAAAGAAATAAAAGCAACAAAAACAATAAATAATAATAATAATAATATTCGTAATTATAATAATAATAATAATAATAATAATAGTAGAGGTAATAATAATAATAGCAATATTAACAACAATGTTAATAAAAATAAAAGTATAATAAAATCACATTATCAGATTGGATAACAATAATATTAATATTAGATGTGATCTTTGTGACAATTCATTATAATTTTCTTGTTGGAGTGTTATTCTCAGTAACTAACGTCCACACGGAAAGAATATTTAATTTGATACGGGGTGTTTGTTTGTTTAAATTGTTTATTATGTTTCAAAAACGATGACATTAGGGAGATTATGATTGAGGGAGATTGTATCATTTTTTTTTCAATGAAAAGATCTGCATAAAATTCAACCTTGCGTAAAACGATCGTCGGAAATAACAATAACAACAACAACAATAATAATAATAATAATAAATATTTGCAGGAAAAACCTTTTGCGCAGTGCTTTGTTGTAAATCCAAGGCATTTACCAGGTTTGACAATGTACATATATAAAGAAACGATTGCTTGAAAAACATTTCTAGAAGGAATTTATTCTATTAATATTGGATGAAATAAATATGGAAAATAAAAGAAAATAAAAAAAAAACCATATCGATAAATTTGGTTAAAATGGGAGCGAGACTTGTTAGTCTTCTAAGTAAATAAATCGATCCTTTCGAATGAAAATTTTTTTTTTAAATTCAAAAAAAAAAAAGAAAGCCTTTTAATTAATTATTTTATTTTAGTTATATATTATATATATAAATAGATTTGTTAATTATGCATATCAAAACTGTAATGTTTTATTATTAGAAATAATCATTTCCAATCATTTTAATTAATATTTTTTTTTTCAATCAAATCAATATGCTTTTTCTCCAGTAAAATTTATATTATTTGCATATTTAATATATTATGAAACGCATATGATCATTATATAATTTCATATATAATATATGCTTTATATATGCTTTCATATATGCTTTCATATAAATATGCTTTCAAATACGTCGTACATACTTCTTACCTAGTTTACACATACAAAATAAGTAAATAAAGTTATGAATTTAAAAAAAAAATTACTTTATTCGCACACGCGTAATATTAAATTTCATAATAACAGTAAAAATTTTCTTTTATAATCCCCAATATTTTTGGTTATGAGACTGGTTCTAAATGAGTTTCACCACATTATGTATGTTCCTTTCCACGTTTATAATTAAATAGCTATAATTAATTTATTTAAAAAATTTTTATTTATTTATTTAAACCGACTAAAAAATTGGGATTTTAATTTTTTCATTTAGCAAAAATTATTTTTGTACAAAAAAAAAAAATATTCATTAAATAAAAACAATTTTACTTCTTTTCCATTCTTTTTCTTTTCCATCAATCACATTTTTTCTATACACTCCTTGACCAATTAATTTCACGTTTCAAGAATATTTTAATTAATATTTAAAAAACTCAGACTAAATAAAAATTTAATTTAATTTTTTCCGAACAATATTCATTTCATTTTTTAACCGTTTCGTTTCCTACAATTCCTTTTCTACTCTCCCACTTCCTCTTTTTACTATCCCATCTTTAATCCTTACCATTAACATCCTCCAAAACATAAACCTTGTTTCCTTTATTTCCTAATACTATTTTTTTTTTTTGATTTTCGTGTAAATTTAATTTTTATTGTATTTTATTTTTTTTTTAAAAAATTTATAAATTGATTATTTCCTAGAGAAAGTCGATTTTTCAAAAAAAAACCAAAAAATTATATATATATATATATATATATACATATATACATACAAATATTGATAAGAACAATTAATTGATATATAAATATCTAATAAATGGAACCAGAACATGGATTTCCAGATAGAGACTTGTCTCTTCGACGTGGAAAAACGTTAAGTAAACCGGAACGTCACCAACCAGCAACTCCCATGTTGCCAGGAAAAGACAAAAAAGCATTTGACTTTTGGGTTTTTTTTTCAAGAATTGTTACATTTTGGGCTCCAAGTGCTTTACTATCTTCAATGGGCGGTCTACACGATTCTCAATCACGACAAGCTTGGCGTGAAAAAATCACATTATGTTTCATTGCTGTTATTATGGGTGGTCTTGTGGCTTTCCTCACTGTTGGCTTATCACAAGTATTATGTCCTCCTGAACAAGCAAGCAACCCTGAATTATTTATACGTTTTGGTGATAGTGGTAGTATAGGTGTGTGTGTGTGTGTGTGTGTATATATTTTGTTTTACATACTATCACGTGATGATTATTTATTTATTCAAAAAAAAATTTTTTATTAGGACATCTTGGTATTCTTGGATGGCAATTCGATGTTACAGGAGCTGATAAAAGTGTATTCACTGTTGACGTAGGAACTCCAATGGGCCAAGACATTACTAATTTCTTTACTAGAGACAATGCAAAAATTCCAAGTTGTCAAGATCCAGCCTTACAAAAATTCGCTGCTGTAAAACAACCATTATGTCAACCACCAGCAAAATGTCCACTATTGCCAATTTCCCCCGAAACTTTTGCAAAATATAAAATCACAAACACCACAAAAAAAGTTGGTTTTGACTGGTCTCAGCTTGCTGATCTTGAGAACCACATGGTAATCAATGGAAACGTATTAAACCTTGGACCATACACAACCGCAAACCCAAAAGCAATTCCTGGTGACTTGATGGACACTATAATTCGTGAAGTTTTGGATACTCCTCATAAAATCGGTGGAAAAGATGCTACTCGTATCTTCTTTAATAAACCTGACCTGAAAGCTGCCGTCAATTGTCTTGTTTCAAAATATTATGCCGGAAACATTGATAAAGAGACTATTGGTTGTTTTACCTCGACAATCTTTTTATATATTTCGTTGGTTGTCATCTTGGGAATTGTGTTGGTTAGATTTGCTATGGCTTGTGTGTTTGATTGGTTCGTTTCACATCGTCTTGCCCTTAAACCAAAACAAAGAGACAACACTATTGGTGAGAAATCGATTGGTGCTGCTTCCGTTGTGCCTTGGACTCCTGGAACAATAACTGTTTCCAAGGACATGACAATGAATCAAGTTGGAAATGACCTTTTCACTGTGTTGCTTGTAACTTGCTATTCTGAAGGTGAAGAAGGCTTAAGATGTACTTGTGAATCTATGGCTGCTACCGAATATCCTGACGATCGTAAATTATTGTTTCTTATTTGTGATGGTATAATTACTGGCAGTGGCAATGATCTAAGTACTCCAGATATTTGCGTCAGCTTATTAGATATTGGTAATTATATATATATTCTTTTTTTTTAAAAAAAAAGTCATTTGATTCATGATATTTGAGAAGATTATTAAATAAAAATTCTTTATTTTATTAGAACCTCAATTTGCAGATCCAAAACCTAAAAGTTATATTGCTGTGGCATCCGGTTCAAAACAACATAATAGAGCAAAGGTTTACGCTGGTTATTTTAATTATAAAGATCGTAAACTTCCAACTGTTTGTGTTGTAAAATGTGGTAATCCAGAAGAAGATGGGAAACCAAAAGCTGGTAATCGTGGTAAACGTGACTCTCAATTGATATTGATGCACTTTTTCAGTCGTGTCACGTACAATGATCGTATGTGTGAATTGGATTATGACCTTTTCAATAAAGTTCATCATTTAATGGGTATTACACCAGATTTCTTTGAAATCGTTCTTATGGTAAGCAATTTTATTGATTTATTTGTGTTGTGGTTTTAAAATATGCGTCATAGATATAATATATATATATATATATATATATATTAATTTAAATTTCACATAAATTTCATTATTTAGGTTGATGCAGATACTAAAGTTTATCCAAATTCTCTTAGATTGTTGATCAATTGCATGTGTAATGATGGTTTAATTATGGGCTTGTGTGGTGAAACAAAGATCGCAAATAAACGTGATTCATGGGTTACAGCAATTCAAGTATTCGAGTATTACATTTCACATCATTTGGGTAAAGGTTTCGAGTCAGTATTCGGTGGTGTTACCTGTTTACCAGGTTGTTTCTGTATGTATCGGTTGAAAGCACGTAAAGGCAAAGATGATTGGGTACCAATTATCACCAAACCAGAAATAGTTCAAGAATATTCACAAAATACCGTTGAAACGTTACATCAAAAGAATTTATTATTGTTGGGTGAAGATCGATTTTTGACAACTTTAATGTTAAGGAATTTCCCACATCGTAAAATGATGTTTTGCCCAAAAGCCGTTTGTAAAACAGTTGTACCAGACGAGTTCAATGTTTTGTTATCACAACGTCGTAGATGGATCAATTCAACTATACATAATTTATTGGAACTTGTGCTTGTTAGAAATTTATGTGGAACATTTTGTTTTTCCATGCAATTTGTTATTTTCATGGAGCTTGTTGGTACCGTTGTGTTGCCAGTTGCATTGGTGTTGACATATGGATTAATGGTCACTTTGGTTCTTAAGCCACCACGAGACTTGATAGAAGCTATTCCACTAATGATGTTGGTTTTGGTGCTTGGATTACCTGCAATTTTGATTTTGCTTACGACGCGTAAATTGATCTATATAGCTTGGATGTTTATTTATTTGTTGGCTTTACCTGTTTGGAATCTTATTTTACCGGTATATGCCTATTGGCATTTTGATGATTTCTCATGGGGTGAAACTAGAAAAGTTGAAGGTGAAGCAAAAGGTGATGACCATGGTAAAAAAGAAGGTGAATTTGATGCTTCAAAAGTACCAGTGAAACGTTGGGAAGACTGGGAACGTACCAGAATCCGTAGAATAAAAAGACAAGAACGTAATCAACAACAACAAAGACAACAAGAACAACAATTAATGCAACAACAATATAGTCCTACACAATTAACACATCAGATGGTAGATGATAATGATCCATTATTATCTCATGATTCATATGATGCTTATAGTGATAGTCGATATGGTGGCAATGATTCCGCTTCTGTTCGTTCAAATAATTCTCAACATCAATTTTACGATTATTCAAATAATCCCACAGGTGATCATGGTTATCCACCACAAGATCAATTCGATGATATAAGGTTCCATGAAAATGATAGACATCATCAATATTAATAAAAAGAAAATTTTTTATTCAATAAAGACTTTTTAACCAAAAAAAAAATTTTTTTTCTAAAATTTTAAAAATTCAAAAAAATTTATAGAAAATGCATCCGTGTATTTTTATTTTATACGTGTATGTATATATATGTATATATGTATATGTATAGAATTGTAAATTGTTTTAAAAAATTTTTTTTAGAAATTTAGAAAGAAAATTTTTAATATTATTATAATAATTATAATAACTTCATCAATAATATAATATTTATATGTAATTTTAATTCATTTTTTATTTGTAATTTATTTTTTAAAAATTTTTCCAAAGTCTGAAGAGAGGATAATATAGAAGATTTTTGAAAAAAATAAATAAAATTAATATAATATACAAATATATATATTAATATATATATATAAAATATAAAAATTTACAAAAAAATAAATTTATTCTAAAGATTAAAGAAAATCAAATTCTTTATCATCATCTTCATCGTCATCTTGCTCATTGTCATCATCATCATCATCATCATCATCATCGTCATTATCTTCATCATGAAATTCATTAGGTGTTTGATTAGGTAATTCATGATGTGAGCCAGTACTACTACTAATAGTTGAAGTAGTTGTAGGAGTCTCTGAAATTTCTGCTGTAGTTTCTGCAAGATTTATAATATGATTAGTGATTGACGGTGACGATTCTGTTGTTGGGTGATGCTCAGATGAGAAAGTGAAATAAGGTGACGTGCCTTGAAGTATACCACCGCCAACTGACATTTGTACTAAAACTAATTTAGCATAATATTTAGTTTTACCATCTGGTGCGATTGCTGCAATCGGTACAAATTTTATACTTCCAGTATACCATTTATGCTAAATAGAAGAAAATAATTGCGAGTGAGTGAATTATTTGTTTCTTGAAAAAAATAAAAAGCAAATAAATAATGTATATATATATACATATATACTTTTAAAGACACAGTTTGGATCATTAAATCAGATGAAATTGCCTTTAACCAAATAGTTATAATAACCGTATCTTTTAAGAGAGTTAAAAAATCAATTACTTATATATTATTTTAATTAATCCTTTTAAAATTGATTCCATGCACGAAAAATATTTACCTTTCGAAGGATTTTTAACTTTGGCATTTTTAGTGTTCCATGATATGTACAATTGATCAGATTTACTAATAGTACCATATGGCGAAAAAACATCAATATCGCCAGATTTCCCTTCATTGAGTTTATTAACATCTAATTTTGGAGTTGGGGCTGCTTCCATCACCACAGCCCTTTCTTGAAAATTAACTTCTTCATCATCTTTCAACTTTTTTAATTGATCAGCTACTAGTGATAATCCTGATAATTTATTATCATTGATAAGATTATCGTCAATATCTTCTGGTTGTAGTTCGTCTGGAATCAAAGCAGGATATGAAAAAGTAATAATTATAAATATTGTAATAAATAAAAATAAAAATAATGATATTTTGGTCCTCATTTTTTCGGTAATGATATATATATATATATATATATATATATATATATATATATAAATCAATTATAAGTATAGCTGAAAAAAAAGACAAGCGAAAATGCTTTTTATTTTCTTGAGGCTTTGCATTTTTACTTTATTGTCAAAAAATTTTGTATTTGATCTAAGCCTCGATGATTTGCCCGAAAATTGGAATTTTATTCTTTTGTCAATAAATGGCACGTACAACTTTATTATTATGGAGAGATCCTTTTTATTCTGAAAGCATTAATTCGAAAAATCGTGCCAAATGTAAATTGTTTGGGATGGGGTATTTGGATGCAGAATTTTGATTGGTTTGTTTGAATCAATTTAAATTGACATGGATTTGAATTTGACGCACAATATCATCATGGATTTAATAACTGCTTCCAAATTTTCAGCTAGTGATGAATTTCTTGCAATATTAATATTGGTATCTCTCGTATTCAACCGGTAATAATGCCAGTTAAGACAACAGCGCAACAACAGCAAGTCTTTAGTCCTGATCAATTAAATTTGTTTAACATTAGTTCTGGTAGTAACATACAAGGAGGCAAGAATATCATTAATAATAACAAAAACGATAGTGATTAAGAATGGTTGCCAAATTAAATATGCCAAAGTTCCTATTTATCGCCAAGGGGACGAATTGACGAAGCTGACAAAGTTTGACTAGTTTCGGCATAGTACGCTCCTTATATGAAATAACTATGTATTTTAGTTGAAAGAGTTTGGCATAATTTCGGCAAGATCATTTATTAGTCATTGGAATTTGTAATGAGCCGTTTACCCTCACTTTTCACTTTCTTTTTACTCGATCGATCGCTCTCTCTACTAAATCGCTCTGTCACTCACTTGAAGAAACAAAACATTTGCCTTACGTTAAATGTCGATCTTTAAGCATGCTTTCACAACTTGACACAAAACAACAGTATAATCCTATTTGTTAACTAATTGATTATTTCCTATATTAATATGGTTTTATTACGTAATCCGACATTTTCAACAACAAAATTTGTTCCCATATATAGAACAACTTCGAAAAGAGACACACACGTCCATACATAAATAAATTAAAGAAAGAAATAATTTTCTTACGTTCTAATAATTAATTCAAACATTACAATTGATACAATAAATCAACCAATCGATTAATTTTAAATAATAAAACAAAATAGTAGCAAAACTTAACGTGACAAACTAAACAATGATTGAATATAACATTCTTTCTATTTTAATTCCCTTCTAATTGATTTGTAATTTCTGTAATCATCTTTTGTTCACTTATGTCATTAGGCCGATAATACCACTTGACATTTCTTTAAGGCTTTCTATTAATTTGTTTCTCGAGTAATAATATGGCGTGAACCAAACAAGCATTCCAACATTTTCAATGGTTTTATTACAGGATTGCTTAATTTTCTAGATTCCTTCTTTCTTTTTTTAATGCTATGATATTTTTTTGCATGCTTTATCATTTCAGAAATTGGAAAACTTTTTCAACAAATTTGTTACTGAAGTTTAATTTTTTCTTCTAAAACAAATTCTTCTGTTTGAATAATTTTGGTCTTGCCAGTATTCCTGTAATTTTCAGCAAATTAGAAATGGACAGATTGCCATTTCCAGTCCCGAGTATATTCTTTTTGGTTTCTGTCATAGTATTAACACTTAATAGAAGTCTTTGTGTATGGGGTAAATATATCGCCTTTTACTGAATTAATAAATAGGCATGGGATAGTTTTGGTATTTTGGCAAATTCACTAGATATGTTAGTTATGTCTTTTGCAAATGTTGTGCGTGAAATTTATGTGAATTCACATACTAATACGTGAAATTCAAATTAGCCAATCAGAATTTCATATCCAAACACCCACCCCAAAATTTTAATTGTAAAGGAAGAATATTTGCACAAAAAACTTTCGGGCAAGTTCATTTATCATTATCATTTATTTATTAAAAAATTAAAAGTTTCTTTTAAATGTGAATAAAAATGATATAAAAGTTTCTGGATACTTTGATTAGTAATTTAAGCAAGAAATTATATCAAAGAAATTTTTTCTAGAATGTCATCTCCCGTTATAATTCTAACCATTACATTAACACATACATATATTATATGAAATATAATATAACTACTTTCAGAATCCATAACCATTTTTCGAATCGATACTTATCATCCAAATTCATAAGCACATAATCATTAACCAATCTCAAAATCCCATTAATTTTCTAAAAAACCATCAAAAATCTTTCTCAAAAACCAAACATTCAATCTCAAATTTCATAATCATTACCCATCCTCAAAATACAACCAGCTTTCTCAAAATCATCATTACTCTTGAATCCCTTCTTTTATCGGTCATTTTCAAATTAAATTATCATCAATCATTCTAAAAACATACTCGATATTAAAATCTATATAATAATTCTCAAAGACATCATCGAATCTCCAAATCAAATCACAATCTTCATAATCAAATATTTATATCACGTAATTATAAAATGGTTGACTGTATATATAGAATGATCACTTTCTTGAAATCTTAATTTTCTTGACAGACCTGGTTTTCTTTTTATTAATATTGATGATGTCTATCATTTTCATGGAACCTTATATCATCGAATTGATCTTGTGGTGGATAACCATGATCACCTGTGGGATTATTTGAATAATCGTAAAATTGATGTTGAGAATTATTTGAACGAACAGAAGCGGAATCATTGCCACCATATCGACTATCACTATAAGCATCATATGAATCATGAGATAATAATGGATCATTATCATCTACCATCTGATGTGTTAATTGTGTAGGACTATATTGTTGTTGCATTAATTGTTGTTCTTGTTGTCTTTGTTGTTGTTGATTACGTTCTTGTCTTTTTATTCTACGGATTCTGGTACGTTCCCAGTCTTCCCAACGTTTCACTGGTACTTTTGAAGCATCAAATTCACCTTCTTTTTTACCATGGTCATCACCTTTTGCTTCACCTTCAACTTTTCTAGTTTCACCCCATGAGAAATCATCAAAATGCCAATAGGCATATACCGGTAAAATAAGATTCCAAACAGGTAAAGCCAACAAATAAATAAACATCCAAGCTATATAGATCAATTTACGCGTCGTAAGCAAAATCAAAATTGCAGGTAATCCAAGCACCAAAACCAACATCATTAGTGGAATAGCTTCTATCAAGTCTCGTGGTGGCTTAAGAACCAAAGTGACCATTAATCCATATGTCAACACCAATGCAACTGGCAACACAACGGTACCAACAAGCTCCATGAAAATAACAAATTGCATGGAAAAACAAAATGTTCCACATAAATTTCTAACAAGCACAAGTTCCAATAAATTATGTATAGTTGAATTGATCCATCTACGACGTTGTGATAACAAAACATTGAACTCGTCTGGTACAACTGTTTTACAAACGGCTTTTGGGCAAAACATCATTTTACGATGTGGGAAATTCCTTAACATTAAAGTTGTCAAAAATCGATCTTCACCCAACAATAATAAATTCTTTTGATGTAACGTTTCAACGGTATTTTGTGAATATTCTTGAACTATTTCTGGTTTGGTGATAATTGGTACCCAATCATCTTTGCCTTTACGTGCTTTCAACCGATACATACAGAAACAACCTGGTAAACAGGTAACACCACCGAATACTGACTCGAAACCTTTACCCAAATGATGTGAAATGTAATACTCGAATACTTGAATTGCTGTAACCCATGAATCACGTTTATTTGCGATCTTTGTTTCACCACACAAGCCCATAATTAAACCATCATTACACATGCAATTGATCAACAATCTAAGAGAATTTGGATAAACTTTAGTATCTGCATCAACCTAAATAATGAAATTTATGTGAAATTTAAATTAATATATATATATATATATATATATTATATCTATGACGCATATTTTAAAACCACAACACAAATAAATCAATAAAATTGCCTTTAACCAAATAGTTATAATAACCGTATCTTTTAAGA